AAGAATTTCCCATACTTAATGGTGAGTGATTGACAGGTTGGCAATAAAGGCAAGACCTGTGAAGTAACTTCTTACTTATTCCCTATTCTTCTGGCATTCTTCTACAGTTTTTGTAAATAAGCAGATGGTCAATAAGATTTTGGGCTTGTGACTAGCATATATAAAAATTTTTTAGGGTCCTTCCTTCAACGAGGGTATTAAATAATTTGACATCAATGTATTGCTGTTACTGGAGCTGTGCACAGCTCTAAAACTCAACAATAAAACATCTTCCTGGGTTGTATGTTAAATACAACTCATATTTTCTAAATTTTAGCTAATGTTAAAACAGAACAAAACCAAAAAAGTTAACTGTTACTGTCAGCAATAGTATGTCTTCGGCAATAAATGAGTTGAACGTATCTAAAATTTTCCTCTATCAAACGTTTATTAATTTTTCTGTCAGCCTTACAAAGGAATCAAAACTGTAAGACAAAAAATAAATCAGATTAAGGAGAACTTTTACATTCAATTAAATTAGTTGGGTAAAGAACAAAGAAATGTCTCTTGTTCATGAAAACTATTTCCGAAGACCCTTTTCCAACCAGGAAAAAAAATTCTAACCATGATCTGGAATTCTAAATCTAGTAAGACAAAATGTTGATCGCATGAGAGATGAATAATTATATTCTTTATAAGAGCCAAACTGAATAGAATGTATTATTGAATCCAGTTGCAAAGGATTTAAGAAACAGAATACTTACATAACTCATATATCTTAGATACTTCATACAAAAGTGGGAATCTGTTACATCTACAAATAAGAAATATGTTAACTAAATTAGAAACATCACTCAATTTTATGGTGAGATTTTCAATATGTGGAAAGAACTTATTGATTTGTTGGAAGGTTAGGATATGGATAGAGAAAGGTATGCACAATTAAACCACAGATCTTAAGGGAAAAAAAAAACTGCTACAATTAGTTCTCTTTAGCTAAGATGAAATAAAAATAAAAAACAGATGCAAAATTGTAACCACACTATAGTATTCACATTAGAGACTTAATACGCCAGAAGTAATGTGCCATTCTTTCTTCTGAATATAACTCCATGCTTAGACATCTGTTTATAAGGAAATCAGATATATAAAAACAAATGGTGCTTTTCAAACACCGTAAAGTTAAGAGCCAGGTCCTGGCATCTATGTGAGGACATGTGATCAGAAAGCACATAAGGAAAAGAGGTCTTAACTTCCTCTTTCACAACAACTGGCATACATCCTTAAAATCAAAGCTACATTGCTTGGGACCCTCAAATTGTTCTTTCTCAGATAAGTTGATCATTATAGACTTATGTATCTACCAGTGGGACACTTTCACTATAGTCAGGTAAGTCAGAAAGTCTCCATGTTTTAACTTTGTTTGGAAAATGATTTCTTGATCAAAATGTTTAAATCTCCAAAGGAATTTTTAAAATATACTGTCTTCATCAAATATTACTGTCTTTCTTCATCCTCCTAGAAGTATATACTTTACTTTTCATAAGATTAGTTCCCAGTCTGTCTGAGTTTACAGCCTACCCTCCAATATCCTACAAGTCGCTTTGGGGTCAGAGATGGGACCACATATTAATCTGGATACTCAGCATCAATCATCACAGCAACTCCTGCGAAGATAGCTGGCATTCAAAGATGTTTTGCTGTCCTATGTATTCTGGAAAAATAACATAAAAGCATGAAGAAGGCCTCCGGGCCTGCAATACACTAAAGATGATAGATAGTCTAGCAAACTGGAGAGCGTGTGCTCCAGTTAAAACAACAGTTGCTACTCAATTCAGTAGTTCAGTTCCCAAACAAGGATACAGGTCTCAAGTTGGCCAGACTTTCAAATTTTTCAAGAGAAACAAGAAACTGAGATTTTTATATGTGTTCATCCATTTTAAATGTTGGCTAAAAAATTTTGTAAACCCTATGTGGGTTTACAAACCCATCCATAAGCTCAATTTGCCCTAAAGGATCCCAGTTTTCAACCTCTTGCTCTCTAAATGACAGACTCCTGCTGAGCTTCTGAACTCTTAGGTGTTCACTAGTTCCTCTTCCTGCTCCTATCCTTCCCTATAGGAGTATCCCTATGTTCTTTATATTCTTTCTGAATATACTTCTTCTCACTCCTTGAACCAACACAATATTTGCTTATATATTCCCAGGAGTGTACCTATTCTGTCTTATACCACAGGCATCTACATATAATCTGTGTTTCCCATAAGGAAATAAATTCCTTAAATCATTTATCATTATAATAACATCATTGGCTTTGTTCTGTGTCAGACACAGAACTAAGAACTTTATGTATAGCAATTCATCCAGTCTTTAAAAGGACCCCAAAGAATAATATGATTATTACTTTACAGCTAAAGAAACCAAAGTTTAGAACATTTCAAATTAATTCCCAAGTCTACACAAGTCAAAGTAGAAGAGCCAGAACTTGGAAGTGAGACTTTTTGCTCCCAAAGTGTTGGACTTGGCTGACTATAAGTCTGCTACACTTCCTTGCACACAGTGAACACTTGATTAACATCTACGGAATCAATTGTTGAAAGAGTGAAATTTATATCTCATTTAAAAGACAATCTTTAAGAAGCATGGACAAAAATTACTGATGAGTTAATAGTTTGCAGAAGGTTGGAAAATAAAAATGATCTGAATATATACTATGAATATTTGTGCTTCAGCATTAGGTTAAAACCCATTCATCAACTAAATAGATACTGAGAGTTTATCTGAGATACTTTTCAGTGTATTTATTTATTCAAAAAGAATTCTAAGCCAATAATAACTGTCCTGGTTAGCATTCTTGGCTTGAAAATTCAATGTGTGATACTGATTTTAGTTAGAAATGAGCAAAAGCCAATAGGAAATTTAAACAAGAACTCAAAAGATATTCTTTTTTGAATGCAAAAAGCATTAATTATTCCTTTTCAACAACTATTATGTTACATTTCTGTTTCTGCATTAAACAGAACTCCCAAAATGTAGTTTGTTTTTTTTTAAGTGTAGTTTGTTTCATACAAAACTATATAAATTCCATATATAACAACTAAGTAATATACTGAGTTTTCCATTTTTGGTTCTTAAATATTTTATCTGAGCCAAAAAGGCAAACTTTGAAGCTTTGAATAATAACAGAATCTGATCATGCTCATATACTTTACTTGAAATCCTGATGGCTAAATAAATCTCTAAACTATCAGTCTCTTTCAAAATAACATTTGACAGTCATGCAAAAGACATTTCCTACCTTTAGGACCATTATTCGGCCTTGAGTCTCAGCTACCCTTGAAATCTAACAACAACAACAAAATAAAATTAAAAAAAAAAAAAAGCTATCACATGAAAAGAACAAAAATATCCCTGAACAATTTTATTGCCCCGTCTTGGCTTCTGCATTTTGAAAAACATCACCAAGTAACATAAACAAACAGCATAATTAGTGTCAAAGTCCTGAGATACACTAAGTTTGGACAGATTCTAATTCTGTTTTCCAAGAACTGTGATCCCAGTCCAGAAACTTGTGGTCTCTACTACCACTACCACTGCTGTATACAGAGCTTAGGAGTAGATGAAGTTGTCCTTTAGAAACACAACCAAGGAAGTTGAAATGGCTCCATAAAGGTTTTGCCAATAACCAAACTTTTTTTGGAACATCATAATACTATTCCTCTCCCCTAAAGTAGTTTCAGCCAGTCCAAACAAAGCCAGATCCCTAACCTTTAATTGATAACTTGGAGAAAAGATACACTATAAAACAAAATTACTATATTACCTACAGGCTACTGATTTGTAAAAAATTTTAAGGACCAAGAAAATCACTTGCAGCTAAGATTGTACAGAAAATTATTTGATGAAATCTTTGCAAAACTAAAAGAGTTAGTAGAAGAACAAAAGATTATCCCAACCAAAATAAGAATCCCCAAAATACTAAAGTAAAAAGGGAAGCAGAAGTATTTCACTTTTCCAAAACTGCTATTATTTTTATACTTTCCTACTTTTCTATGCCTCTACTAGATTTATAAAAGAATATTTGAGGGAAATGCTAAAAGGAAGCACATTCATTTCAAACCCCTGACGGGAGAAAAATCATCAACCTAGCATCACTGGTTGGTGTGAAAAAAGCTAATGGCAGAGTAGGGAAAAAGAGACTGCCCCTGCTCAGACCTAAACCCAGAGGGGAAAGAGAAATAAATTCCTCAAAGTGTTACGAGGAAAGGATGTTCTGAATGAACTCTGTAGATGCAGTTTTTGTGGACTTCTCCAGTCATTGAAACTACAACTCCCAGTAATACCAAAGGGAGGACTGTGAGGACCCAAGGGCAGAGCTAAGCAGACATGTTGAGCTGAGACTTTTGGAGACATGTTGAGCTGAGTCTCTCTCTCTCCCTTGGCCTTGTGGCTGGTGTCTGATGTCTTGGCTCTTGATCAGCTTCCAGTGTGCTACTGGAATTCCAAGTCAATGGAACAGGTAGGACACACTAGCTAACTTGTATCTCTCTCTTTCTCTCTTTCCCTGGGTTGTTCCTTTTCTTTCCCTTTGTAAATAAACCCATTATTGACCCTTTTTGTGTGTGCCTGAATGTAATTGAATCTTAAGCATGCAGGTGAGGAACCAGTTCACATTGGGTTGCCCTGTAACAAAAGGACTAATGGGTATCATATCAATTTTCTTCCCTCTCCTCTCTCCTGGTCATCATCAAGAATTAGCTTGAATAACAGAAATAATGAAATTAAAATAAATATTCCCTAAGCCAAATCATCCTAGCAAGTTACCAACTGAAAGAAAAATGAGTAAAAAGGGAAGATACCAAAAGAAAGTACACACTGTTACGGAAATTACTAGCACTGCAGTTATAAAATTGATAAAGACAATTGAGAAGTTATCTCCCTAGCTAACATTGTCAAATTATGTGAAGTAGCTTTAACATGCCTATAACTGAACAGTCCATGCTCTTTTGAGTTATATATACCTGATTATTCCAATTTTCAAAGCTTGGAGAAAAGCTGGAAATTGGAGAGACTGAAGAGAGTTCTTTGAGTTTTGTATCGATTTCAGCAAGCTGTTGATGCTGAGTGACTGCAAGTGTGTATCCTCCTCCTGGGTCCAGCCAGACAGATTGATCACCCTAAAAGGAAACAAGGGTACTGGATCATTTCCATGCCACATTCTTTCCCCCAAATACCTTTCAGACTGCTACACCAGTGCTCAGGAGGTCATAAAAACTAAACAAAACTTAAAAATAACAGAATTAACATTGGAATAGTGAAAAAAAGTATGGCTTAATTATCTGCCAACCCTGCATAAAGTGTCTTCATATAGATTATGAGGTTTTCCCCCAGGAGGTAAATCTCTGAGCCTCACATTCTGCTATTCATAGAATTCTCACCTCTCCAGTTTGAAAAATAGGTATGTTTGTGACATGTTGAATAAAAGAAATCATGTTCACCCTATAACAGACAAGGTATTTTCATAGTTTGTCGCTGAAAACTGACAAAAGATCTATAAACTGAGTTGTGTTTCATGAGTTTAACTGTTCATCCAACTCCTTATTCAGTTAATAGTTTCATAATGAGTTAAAACCCACTCATAACAATCATTCAAAAATCTTGAATGCCTATTATGTATAAGCATAATACTGGGCATTGGTGATTCAATATCAACAATTTTTTTCCTTCAAGTTCTCAGTCTCTTGGCAAGAACAAACACAACAGGTATGAAGGTATGAAGAATGATGAAGGTATGAAGAATGATGGAAAGCCCAGTTATGAAGGTGTGAAGAATGATGGAAAGCCCAGTTATGAAGGTATGAAGAATGATGAAAGCCCAGGACACCCTGAGAACCAGAGTGTCAACTGTCCCTTGAAAGGGACAGGAAACATAAGTGGTTGAAGAAAGTTTCTAGAGGAAATAATCCACCTTAATTACATCTTAATCATAGAAACAGAACAAACAGCTCTTTACTTTGAAATTGGAGCTGATAAGTGCAAGATTAGAGGCAGAAAACCTAGTTAAGAAGCAAAAGCCATAATAAATAAATCCATAAAATAAAAGTTGATGAATTAAGGAATGTTTCCTGGGAATGCAGATAATAGGACACATTCCACGGGAACTTATATAATAGAGCTTACAAGATCTGTAAGTAATTTAAAGGATGAGTTGAGGAAGGAGTAAAGATTAAAGTCAAAACCCAAATTTCTGATTCTAATTTGGAAAATTAATTGCAAATTACACGTGTAGCTAGATGGTGGTCCTATTGGTTAAACTAGGAGACTGTGGCAAGCTTGAAGAGGAAAATGATTGTGATTTCTGTTCTGGGTCTTTCAATATTCACAGATATCCACAGATTATGCTACATAGCTAAATATATGTATCTGAAGTTCAAGATCCAGATTGGCAATAAGTATTTTGAATTTACCTATATATTTACAGTGGTTGACTCTTGGACTATGGAGAGGGTGAGTCACGAAAGGAATCATGTAGCATAAGGACAGAAGAATCAGGAAGAGTACTAAGAATAAAAGGGCTACTAGCCACCAAGGATACTGAGAAATTTTGTAACTTTTGTTTCTTTGCTCTAATTCTAGGAATCAATCACTAAACAATAACCAAAAAAAATAAAGGGAAAAAACATATTTAAAAAGACATACTTGGCTTTCCCTGTCCCCAACCTCCTTTCCCATTTCAGTCAACTAACACCTAGTCAATCTTGTTAGCATTGACATCCCCTTCAGACACTCTTTCTTCCCACCACTGGCAACAAGAAAAGAAACAAATGACCTAGATTCAGCCAATCAAAATGAACAGATTGGATTTTGACTCTTGAGGGAGAATATGATACAAATATGCATGGGCATGATTCATAGTGACCATGGTAGCGGTTAAGAGTCTAATGTAGGCAACAGTGAAGGTGGTAGCACCTGTGGGGTGTTGTAGAGAAGGGGTCTCTGGTAACTGTGTTGAAGCCCCTAGCAAGCCTTTTCCTGAGGAATCAGTATGGCCGTGGTTCCTTGTTGTCTGCCTAGCTTACAAACCTAGTTCTCCAAACTTCCCACTGTGTTGGTAAGCTACGCAAGTCTCTCAATAGATTTATTTTTTGTTATTATTTTTTTAACCAAAGTTCATCTCTGTTTCTTGTAACTCTGAATACTGGATTATATCTTTCCTTATCATGTAATTCATAAAAAAGAATAACTGCAAAAAAAGTCCAAATGTTGAAAAGCAAGGAGAAAGTGAACAGACTGTAGTATATCCATACAAGGCTATGTTATATTAATCAACACATCAAAATAAAGTTGGCACGTGAAAGTTATACAAAACTGTTAAAAATAATACAATCTAGGGCCCTCCCTGGTGGTGCAGCAGGTTAAAGCACTGCACTAAGAAGCTTAAGCTACTTCTGCATGAGTTCGATCCCCGCCTGCCCCAGAGGAGATCCACATGGCACAGCAGACCTCTCCTGACCCACCCTGCTGCTCCCCTCAGCAGTGTACTTCATCCATCTACCTGTTCTACTCCCCACTCTGTCTGGTGAATTCTCTCACCCTCCGCATCTCTGGCCTGTACCCCAGTTCTGTATGAAGAAATAAATAAATCTTTAAAAAATAATAATAATAATAATACAACCTAATTACAATGAAAAATCTCTAACTTTTCCTAAACACAAAAAATATTGATCAAAATGAGAAATAATAATAACCAAAAAAGTAAAACTATGGAATCAATGACTAAATTATCTACACTTAAAAAGAGAAAATATTCCCATTAAAAAGTCTATATTGGGCCCTCCCTAGTGACGCAACGAGTTAAAGCATAGCACTAAGAAGCTAAAGGCACTTCCAGCATGAGTTTGATCCCTGCCCCAGAGGTGACCCACATGGTGTCGTAGACCTCTCCTCACCCGCCCACTGCTCCCTTCAGCAGTGTATTTCATCAGTCTGCCTGTTCTGCTCCCCACTCTGTCTCTGGTGAATCCTCTCACTGCTCTGCACCTCTGGTCTGTATCCCAGTTCTGTATGCATAAATGAATAAATAAATCTTTAAAAAAAAATTCTCTTGACAAATTGCAGGAACCAGGCTGCCCTGAGCTGAGAGTTCTGTGCTGCATGCAGCAGCCAGCTGATGTCACGTGTTGGCACCCACCTGACTTGCCCACCACCTAACTGGTTACTGGTATTGTGGCACAGTGCACAGGGCAAAACTGCTCTTTAACTGAAAGGTCTTAGACTGGGTTCCCTAAACATTGTGCCTATGACAGGACTTTTGTTCAAGTAACTTATTGGAGCTGAGCTTTCCAGGGAAGGGGTATGAGGAAAGCAGATGTGGACAAGAGAACAAAGCCAGGCAAAGATGTGTCTCAACTGAAACCAGCTGAACTCACAGAAACAAACTGCACCTTAGAGCTCATCCAATCTTGAGTGAAGGAGCAGGGCTGGGGGTTGAGGAACTACTATCCCAAGCTACTGAATTCCCATTTAGCCAATGACATTTCTCCAGGGAAGCGGGCAACTATCCACCCTTGGCACTGGGCTAAGGAAATTGATGCACAGATAAGTGCCTGGCAGAGGTGATCCGGGCAGTGCTCAGTACATGATATTTCCATTAAACAGAAAGAAATAAATGACAGGAAACCAGGTTAAACAATTCAAAGAACACAAGGAAATTACATTTCTTTGTAGAGGTAAAAAGCATTCCTTTAAATTTCATATGCAAATGAATGACTGAAAAGTCCCAGTATTCCTTATGTGACCAACTCTCATCTTTTAAAAACCTACATTATTCTTCTTTTTGTCTCATACCTGTTTGGTTTCTCCCTCTTTTTCTTTTAAATCTAAAAGCCAGTGCAATAAACAAAGCAAATATTGTAAAAAAAAATTTAAACATGAGCAATATCAGAAATATTTCCCTACCTAATGAAAAAAAAAAAACGTACATTTTTCCTTATTTGTATATATCTTACATCTTTTTTTATTTTTTAAGACTTATTTATTTATACATACAAGAACTGGGGTACAGGACAGAGAGGTGGTGGCGAGGGGTGAGAGGATCCACCAGAGACAGAATGGGGAGCAGAACAGGCAGATTGATTGAAATCCACTGCTGAGGGGAACTGTGGGTGAGATAGGAAAGGTCTGCTACACCAGTCACCTCCCTGGCTGGGGATCGAATTCATAACCCCTTATGCCATCATGAGGGAAGCCCTCATTTTTTTTTCTTTAATGTTTGCTTTCTTTTCTGGGGTATAGTCCCCATAGAATTTCCACCACCAGTTTACCAGTGCACCATCACTAGAATCCCTTATGCTCTTCCTTCCCTCATTTTGATCACTCTTCTGCTCCCTGCAGAGAGTGTCTAATTTAATTTTGATTTGTTTTATTAGGGCTATTTTTTCCCCTAATGTCTTGTTTCCCCTATATTCCTCCTATAAGTGAAGCCATCTGATATCTTTTTTCGTTCTGACTTATTTCACTGAGTATAATCCCTTCTAGCTCCATCCATGTTGCTGTAAATATCATTAGTTTATCTTTTTTTGACTTTGCCTCTTAAGAATTCTTTCTTAAAAGCTACTGGAGGGTGTGCTTAGCCAAACAAAATTATAAATTAAAATATAGGGAGACCAAAGATACGGAAACTTCAATCCAGGCAAGGTAAGCAGAGCATCCTGGATGAACTGGTGGCCAACCAGAGGAAACTGCCCATTCTGAGACTCTGGGTGAGACTGTTCAGGACAGTGAAATTGATAGAGTGCCTGATACTTGTGAAAACCCTGATAGAAGACACTGGCAATCCCCAAAAAACTTTGGAGTTGGATTTGTGATAATTACATATATAGGCAAACAAGCAAAAAAAACATGTTATTTAGTCTAGGATAAGCAAAAAGTTGTACAAAAAAAAGAATAAAGTATACCATGTGAGGAAAATAAAATAAATAAATAAAAGTAAAAAATTACATTTGCATCCCTATTACATGTTGCTCTCCTTAAGCTCAATTTATGCTCCCTCAAAACTCTTCAGGGAAATGGATGTTCAGAGTTAACTGGGAAAACCAGTGTTATTTAGGATTATGAAGACTACCATGAACTACCATGGAGCCAGTTTAGGAACAATGAAAGTTTAAAAAAAGGATATAGAGAGGCCCTCCCTGGTGGCTAAGCAGGTTAAAGCACAGCACTAAAAAGCTAAAGCCACTTACACATAAATTCGAACCCCTCCTGCCCCGGAGGTGATCCACATGGTGCCACAGACCTCTCTTGACTGCCCGCTGCTCCCCTCAGTAGTGTACTTTTCAGCAGTGTACTTCGTCCATCTACCTGTTCTGTTCCCGCTCTGTCTCTGGTGAAGCCTCTCACCGCCCCTGAGCCTCTGGCCTATACCCTGGTTCTGTATGCACAAATAAATAAAATCTTTTAAAAAAAAAAAAAAAAAGGATATAGAGAAACACAAACACTCATATGTCATCAAGTGACTAAGCCCATCACATCACAGGCAGAGCTTATTATTGTGATAGCCAAAGTGAAGACACACTTAAAATGACATAAAATTATCATTTGAGAGTCAATAACAAATTGACCAAAATTAATTTGAAAACTTTGATTAAAAACTTCATAAAGCAAAATTTTGTTTAAGCTAGAGAATATTGTCTCAATCTGAAAAATGATAGCAAATTTGTGCTAGTGGGTAAATAACACGATAAAAAATTAAAGTTGAAAAGCATAGAGGTTTAAAAAAAAAAAGCACAGAGGTTACTGACTATCAGAATTTACATACCTCAGAACTGGACAGCCCTGAATCTTGATCATCTAAGTCTTTCAAAAGTTCAATTAGCCTTTTCTTCTCTCTTTCAATCATAACCACTGGTTTTCCTGAATCCTTCACCAACTACAAAATACATGAATAGAAAACATATTAAATCAAAGCAGCTCATATTTGAAAAAAAATAAAAATGGAATCTGAGGCTTCTGTACAGATACAGTAAGGCAAATTTTGTTAGATTTGTCATTTGCTAAGTAATTTCATTCTATGCCAAGTTTTTGGTATCTAGCTCCATTCTCTAAGCAAAGATATACCCACTATAAGCAGGATTTCATGTTAACAATTTGAAACATTTTATGTAAAACACAAAAACAATAAAATGTAGACAGTTTGCAAATTGTACAATACAAGAACATAATTACTGAGGCATTTGGAAGGAATCTTCTTTCCACTTCCTAATGGTACATATCTGCCAGATGAAACTGCTTTTAATTTTCAAGAATATCATATCAGGAGTTTAAATAAAGATAATCAGTTACTACCACTAAAAGAGTCAAAGGAAAATCTATGGTGGAGTTGCTAGTCTGTGTCAGTATAAATTTCAATATGGGAGAAATGCTATTACTCTTGGAAAACTGAACAATAAAACAACATTCATTGGGACAGCACAAAGAGACAGCTCAAGTGAAGGCTTCCTGCAGTACATATAAATATGTATCATGGAAAAACTGAAAGCCCAGAGGACAGTCCTGGCAGGAAATGATAAGCTAATTGTGGAAAAAAGCATCAGGTTTGAACTATAAGGAAGCATTTACCTTTCCTCGTTAATCCTTCCCTTACCATACAATTTTCTAGTGACTCAGCTGCTTACGTGGTTTGTCATGAACTTTCTGTCCACTACACTTATATTTCTTGCTGGGAGCTCATTAATTAGCACTCTGATCTAATATAGGAGACCCTGAGTCCTTGAGTAGTCTAAATCTGTTATAAGGACAAACCAAGTTAGACCGCAGAAACTGGAAGACCAAGAACAAGCCCCTGAAGCACAGCCCTGATCAAGCAAATGACCAATGAATGACCACCTGGGAGAGAGCAACACAGCACAGTTGTCTTCCCCAGCTCTGCCATGAGCATTTCCCACTTGACCTTCTAAAGGTACCAGGTATATATTCAGTCTTACTACTTTAAAAAACAGAATTACAAATACACAAAAATATCTAGGAAACATTGCCCAGATAAATAATACTTAATTACCTAAATAAATGTTTTTCAAATTGCAGGAACCAGATCTATTCTAGGAGTTGCAGTTAATATTTTTTAAAAGGCTAGGACATGGGCCCTCCCTGGTGGCACAGTGGGTTGCAGCGCTGCATAGTGAAGCTAAGCCAAGCTGTGGCTGCTTCAGTGTGAGTTCCATCCCTAGCCCCAGAGGTGACCCACATGGCACGGCAGACCTCTCCTGATCTGCCCGCTGCTCCCCTCAGTAGTGTACTTTGTAGATCTGCCTGTTCTGCTCCCCACTCTGTCTCTGGTGAATCTTCTCACCGCCCCTGCACCTCTGGCCTGTGCCTCATTTCTGTATGCATAAGTAAATAAAATCTTAAAAAAAAAAAAGGCTAGGACATGATAGGAAAGGATGGACTAGAGATTAATGAAGTAATGGTTCATGATACTCCTCTTTCAATTACATATACTGTTTCCATTTCAAATACATATATCAGGATAAAAAAATATTTAAAGACGCAGAATACAACTATTTCCAATTTCACAGTTCATTTAGTCCCACATTTTGGCTCCTGAGTTTCTAAATACATACCTCAATGTTTCGTTTAATAAAATCCTTGCTGTGTTTATCCTTGAGCTCATTTTCTGTATTTGAGAAGTGTTTTTCTGCTTTGATCAATGTCTCATTTCTTTCCACATCACTGGTAAAATCTAGTATTAAAAAAGTTCAGAAGTTTTTCAACATTATAGCTGAGAATCATGGTATGTGGTATGACTTCACTTTTACCACATATCAAAATATATATAAAGTAAAATACGCATAAGAACTTCTAAATTCCAGATCCAAAAACATAATATAAACAGAAACTTATAAATAAATGTGCTACCACAATTTGCAATGAAAATTTCAGAAAACTTTTGATATCTCTTATCATCTACCAAACTTCTTGCTATTAATTCCTTGGGAATTGAATGAAACACGGAAAAAAAAAAAACTTCAAATGATGCATGTGTAGAAGAAATCTCTGAGGTTATGGGGATTTTAAGATATATTTTTTTAAAGATTTATTTATTTATGCATACAGAACTGGGGTACAGGCCAGAGATGTGGAGGGTGAGAGGCTTCACCAGAGACAGAGTGGGGAGCAGAACAGGCAGATCGACGAAGTACACTGCTGAGGGGAGCAGTGGGCGGGCCAGGAGAGGTCTGCCACGCCATGTGGTCACCTCCGGGGCAGGCGGGAGTCGAACCCATGCGGAAGCCGTCTTAGATTCTCAGTGCTGTGCTTTAACCCGCTGCGCCACCAGGGAGGGCCAGATTTTAAGATATTTTTTACTTAGATCTTACATGAAACAAAATTTTCTCTAAAGGCTAGAGTCATTTCTTGTTATTCTATTAATTTGCCATCATATTCTCTGAACAGTAAACTTTTTTAAAGATTTATTTATGCATACAGAAACGGACATACAGGCCAGAGGTGCAGGGGGTGAGAGGATTTACCAGACACAGAGTGAGGAACAGAACAGGTAGATCTACTGAAATACACTGCTGAGGGAAGCAGCAGGCAAGATAGGAGAGGTCTGTCACACCATGTGGGACAGTTCTCTGGCTGGGAATCGAACTCAGTGCTACAGTGGCTGCGGAGAGCTTCATAGTGCTGTGCTTTAACCCACTGCACCACCAGGAAGGGCCCAGAACAATAAACTTTTTGTTCAAGGTTGTCTTCTAAACAAGGCCTTGAAAGTTCTATAGCCCACCTGTACAAATCCCTAGAGACTATCTTTGTCAGCTTTTCTCAGCCCTTGAAAAGAGGCCTGAATCAACCTCACAGATGGTTACATCTGAGTGCTCAAAATGAGGGCAAAAAAACTACTTGTGGACTCTTCCCTTCATTCTATTTCTTATTTTCACCATTTAAAAGAAGATCATGTGAACCCTTCATTAAAGCTCTTAAAAAATGCACAAAGAGGACTCCTTTTTTATGAAGTCACCTTACAAAATAGGGTAAACTGATACATTAAAGACCAAAAGGAAAAAACACCAGCCAGTAACTCAGTTTAAACAAAGGTTATTTAAAAATTATCTTTGTTTTATGAGAGAAGTTACCTTAATAAAAAGAATTGAGGGAACTAGTCAATTGGCATATTTATCAAAACTAATTATCAAATTTTCAATACAAATTTAATAATTAAAGATAAGTTTTTATAATAATAGCTAAAAACAGGAAAAAGACAAGAGTTCTAAATTTAAATAAAAATCTGAGTTTAGGGCCCTCCCTGGTGGCTCAATAAAAGCACAGCACTAAGAAGCTAAAGCCACTTTAGCATGAGTTCGATCCCTACCCCAGGGGTGATCCACATGGTGCAGCAGACCTCTCCTGATTGCCAGCTACTCCCCTCAGCAGTGAACTTTGTCACTAGACCTGTTCTGCTCCCCACTCTTTCTCACCACCCCCTAACTTATACCCCAGTTCTGTATGCATAAATAAATGAATCTTTTTTAAAAATCTGAGTTTAGCAAGTTTTAGTTAAATTTCTATGCAAATAAATCTACATTTTATAATTGGTACTTGATTTTTAAACAATCACATACTTACTCTATAAATCAACTACCATTAAAGTATGTTTCATCACTCGTTTCCTCTAAAGTATGAGTTATCTTTTTGTTGAGTAACCTCCATAGATATAAAATTTTTAAGTTCTGGGCCCTCCGTGGTGATACAGTGGGTTAAACACAGCACTGCAAGCTGGCTGCAGATCTGAGTTCAATCCCCAGCCCTAGAGGTCATTCACATGGTGAAACAGACCTCTCCTGACTTGCCCCATGCTCCCCTCCTCAGTGTACTTCTGCTCTCCTTTTCTGCTCTCCACTCTGTCTCTGGTGAATCCTCTCACAACCCCTGCACCTCTGGCCTGTACTCTAGTTCTGTATACATAAGTAAAGAAATCTTTAAAAAATAAAATGAAATTTATATCTTCCATAATCCAAGTTGCAAACCATTTTGTCAAAATAACAGGTTTATTCAGCTGAAGTTTTGCATACTATTATATGATATTAAAATAACTCTAATTAGGGCCCTCCCTATTGGCGCAATGGGTTAGGACGCAGCACTGCAAGCTGGCCGCAGCTGCTTTAGTGTGAGCTCGATCCCCGGCCCCAGAGGTGACCCACATGGTGTGGCAGACCTTTCCTGACCTGCCCACTGCTCCCCTCAGCAGTGTTCTTAGTCGATCTGCTTGTTCTGCTCCGTGGTCTGTCTCTGGTGAAGCCTCTCACCGCCACTGCACCTTTGGCCTGTACCCCAGTTCTATATGCATAAATAAATGAATCTTTAAAAAAAAAAAAAGGTGTTATTTAAAAAATAAAAAAACTCAAATGTATCCAGGTCCACATTTATAATAGCTTCCTTAAAGTATACATTTAACAAACTATAGGAAAAAACCTTGAATTGCCTGCTGAGAACTGTCTCACTAGACATGTCCTCTTCTCTTCTCTATCCTGGTGGTGATCCATGGCAGAAGCTGCCACAATCCTAAGGAGAACTCAGCCCTTGCTGGGTTGAAAAAGTTGGTTAGATGAGGGGGTTGGCAGCTAACCCAAGTAGAATACTGGAATTGAAACTCCCTTACAATGACTAACCACAGAATATGCCCTTAGGGATGAAAGAAAGCTAACTACCACCAGGATTCTTTCCATAATTTTTTGTTGTTGTTGCTTAACCTAGATTTCTAATACTTGCCTAATCAGCTTTTCTTAGCCTCTCTATTATATAAAATTTCAAGCATCCGAAAGAAGAAAAGTGGTTAATGAACCATCAACTAGCCTCAACAATGATGAACCTATCACCAAACTTGATTCATCAAGAAGTTCATCTACTTTCACCCACCCCAGATTAAATCTCACCAAATCATTTCATCAGTATTTCTATATATTAAAAACATTTTCTAATGACAATATGTAAAAATTATAAAAATAACAGGCAAAAGATTTAATCTGAAGAGAAACCAGAATGCAAAAATCCACATACCTTGATTGACATGCTGTATACATTTTTCGTAGTCTTCAGGAGGGACTTGAGTGTGAAACACTGAGAAAAATGTATCTCCATGCTCACAGCAAGAAGGATCTGTTGATTTTAAAAATTCATTTATTCAATAAAAATAAATATGAAGTTATTTGTAAAACGATAACATCTAATGTCTCTATTATTCTTTGATTCCCTCTATACAGGCTTTTGGTTTTTGTTTTGTTCTTTTTATTGCATTGACAGAGGTTTACAATACTGTCAGTTAAGTTAGAGGTATAGGGTCACACCCACCACCAAAGCACCATAGTCCTCCACCACAGTCCATGGTGCCTTCTGACTTAAATTTCACTTAGCGTAATTCTTCCAGCTCCATCCATATTGTCACAAATGGCAAGAGTTTATCATTTTTATGCCTAAACAGTGTTCCACTGTGTATATACACTACATCTTCCTAATTAACTAATCTGTTACTAGGCACTTAGGTTGTTTCTATAGTTTAGCAATTGCAAATAGTGCTGCAATTAACATAGATGTGCAAATATCCCTTTGAATTAGTGTTTGTTTTTTCATTTCTCAGGTATATACTTAGTAGTGGTATATACTGGATTACATGGAAGATGTGCATTTAATGTTTTGAGAAATCACCATACTGTTTTCATAGGGGCTGGACCACTCCTCTACATTCCCACTGACTGTGTATAAGGATTCCTTTTTCTCCGTATCTTCATGACCACTGGTCTTTCTCATATGGGCCATTCTCACAGGTAGTATCTTGTTGTTGTTTTAATTTGCATTTCCCTGATAATAAGTAATGATGAGCATTACTTTCAAGTGCCTGCTGGCCATCTGTATAACTTCTTTGGAGAAGTGTCTATTTAACATTTCTGCCCATTTTTTTAATTGGAGGTTTTTTTTTATTATTGAATTGTATGAGTTCTTCATAGGTCTTGAGTATTTGTAGATGTATAGTGTGCAAATTTATTCTCCCATGTAGTAGGGCACATTTTTGTTTCAGTAAATCTTTCACTGTACAAAAGCTTTTTAGTTTTTTGAGCAGGAAATATCTTTCCATTTTGTGTGTGTGTTCTATTTCTTTTAACAGTGTCTCATAGTTTTTATTGTATAGGCATTTAAACTCCTTTGTTAAGTTTACTTTGTAGGTATTTAATTCTTTCTGAAGTGATTTTAAATGGAACTGTTTTTGCCATTTCTTTCTCTTCTATTGATAGCTTGTTTCTATGTAGGAACTCAACTGATTCATGTAAATTGAATGTGTAACCTGTTACTTTGCTATACTAATTTGTTATTTCAGTTGGGTTTTTTGTGTGTCTTTAGGATGTTCTGTGTATATTATCACATCACCTGAAAATTGTGATAGTTTTGCTTATTTCCAAATTTGGGTCCCTTGATAGCCTTCCCTTACGAATTGCTTTCTAGACTTCTATTACTATGTTGAATCATAGTGATGAAAGTAGACATCCTTATTTATCTCAGTGGAAAAGCTTTCAGTTTTCTACCACTGAGAATGACGTCAGCTGTAAGTTTATCATATGTGGCCTTTATTATGTTGAGCTATGTTTCATTTATCCCCACTTTCAACTGGTTTTACCATAAATGGTTTTTATCAAATGCTTCCTATACATCTATTGATATCATCATATGATTGTTATCTTTCCTTTTGTTGATGTGATGAGTTATATTGAATGATTTTAAGATGAACCACCTTTGCTTCACCAGAATAAGTTCCAATTGGTCATGAAGTGTCATGCTTTTAATGCATTGTTGAATTTGGCTTGCTAAAATTTTGCTAAAGATCTATTATACATCTATGTTCATCAGGAAAATTGGTATGTAGTTTTCATTCTTTATTGTGTCACTGTCTGGTTTTGGTATCAGGGTAAGGTTGGCCTCATAAAATGTTTGGAAATATCCTTTCTCAGTTTTCTGGAAAGTATGAGGCCAGGCTTTATAATAATTCATCTATATAGTCCTAGTCTAACCATTTTATCCTGGACTTTTGTCTTTTAAGAGACTTTTGATTGCTTCAATTTCCTTGCTTATAATTGGTCTCTTTAGGTTTTCTATTTCTTTCTGATTCAGTCTGGGATAGCTGTAGATTTCTGAGAATCTGATCATCTCATCAAGGTTGTTCAACTGAGTGGTATAAACATGTTCACAAAAATCTCTTAAACTCAATATTTTTGAGTGTCTGTTGTAACTTCTCTTTTTTAAATTTGCATTTAACAAATTAGGAAAAATATTTAATTCCTGGCAAGAACAGCCTCACTAGAAATGTCCTCTTCTATTCTCTATCATGGTGGTGATTCATACCAAAAGCTGCCACAATCAAAGGAGAACCCAGTTCTTGCTGGGTTGGAAGAGTTGGTTGGATAAGGGGGGGTGGAAGCTAACCCTAGGATATTAGAATTGAATATCTTTTGCTTCCAATTCTATTTATTTGAGTTTACTCTTTTTCCCCCCTTTGTAAGCTTACTTAGAGGTTTGTCTTTTTATTTTTTTTAAAGGATAACATGTGTTTTCATTGATCTTTTGTACTGTCTTTTTTATTTCATTTCACTCCATTCTAATTTTTATTATTTCTTTCTATCTAGTAGCTTTTGATTTAATTCTCTCCTTTTTCTAGGTTCTCAGGGTTTAAGTTTAGATTATTTTTTTAAGATTTATTTATTTACTTATGCATACAGAACTGGGTTGCAGCCCAGAGGTGCAGGGACAGTGAGAGGATTCACCAGAGACAGAGTGGGGAGTAGAACATTACATTTAGGTAACCAAGTGGCATTTTAGCGTCATGGACTTATATATTTAGTTCCTTTCACAGGTTTGGGAAGTTTTCCTCACTTCTTTGAATAAGTTCTCTGTTCTCTTCTCTCTCTTTCCTTTCTGAAATACCTCTTATTCTTAAAATTGTCTTTCCTAGTAGAGTTTGATTAGTCTCAGTGTTTCATTTTTTTGATTCGTATTGCTCTTTCTTCTTCCACCTGGACTCTTTATGAGAAATATCTGTAAGGTCATTGATTCAATCTTCATTTTCTTCTATCCCACTTCCATAACTTTCCCCAGAATATATCTCTTTTATTAGTAATTTTGTATCTTATGTCTCCATTATTTTCTTATTTAAAGTTTCAATCTCTATCTGCTGCTCAATTTTATTTCTCAGGACATTCAGTTGATTTTTCTCAATTTTACTTTATATCTTTGATTAACTTTTCTGTTGTTGTTTTTTTTTTCCCCTTCCTTGAATTTCCTCATCAAAGTTGAACTCTGACAGCCAGAAAAAAATCACCCAAGAATCTGTGATAGTATTATGGAGAGTTGTTCTTTGTGCTGACATATTCCCTTAGAACTTAAGGTTCCATATGTTATATTTTTAACTTCCCAATTTGTAGTTTTTCAGTTTACTATTCTTTCAAAAATGTTCTAAGAAATACCTTGGAGGATGCAGAACTTCCAATTATCCAGCAGATGGCACTATTTTTTGGTTTCTGTCTGTTGTTAGCTTTCCTTTACTTGATATGTCATATTCAGAAAATAAGTCAGTAAGATTTGACCTGTAGCTGCTGAGTCTGGAGATGGGGGAGAGACCTGGAGCAGCCCAGTCACTGGTGAAACCTTATGTGCAGGGGCCAACTTGTGGCACCAATGATTGTCCTCCTATCTGGATTATTAGACCCATGTCTCTGCAATCTGTGTGCTATCAGTGTATTACATTATCCCCACAGGATGGAGAGAGGGAACACAATCTAGGGCCCTGTCCTTGACATGGGGGACAAAGGCCCACCTGGCATCACAACTCCTCTGTATGCACCTCCCCTCTATCAAGGGTGTGTGCATCCACATTAGTCAGCTCTCTTCCCGCCCAGAGCTGCAAACCAAATATGGGAGCAAGTTCCAGGTTTGCACAGCAGGCTTCCACCTCATCCAGTCTCCAGATATCTCTATCCACCTAGCTTTTTTAGTATGTAGTTAAAAATCAGTGCCCTTCTGGTACAGTCAGCACTGGCCTCCCATATCCTAGGGTTTTGCCCCAAGTCACAGGACTCTCTGGGTTCAGTGTTCCTCTGGACTACTTTCAGATTTTCCTACTGGGAGCAAAGCAGGGAACTTCCTTGGACACCATCTTCTCACTTTCAGATCTAAGAATTTTTAAGAGTGATGTCATATACGTTAATTCTGTCTTATTGGTGGGTGCCCTTTGGTTATATCCTCAGGAAAGTTCTATTAAACACAGTAGTCTTCTGTCTAGGATAGTTTGAGAAGGGAATGAAGAATGTCCAATCTGTGAGCTTTTAATTATGTACAGAATACAGTTAGACAAATACAACTGACCCTTGAACAATTGTTAGTCAGGAGTGAGAAAAAGCTGGCACAATTGAAAATCTGCTTATAAATTACAGTCAGCACTCTGTATTTACTGTAAAACTTCTGCATCCAGGGATTCAATTAATGACCCACACATACATTTCTTAAGACAATGTCACTTCTCATCAGCCTTAGCAATGTCTTTGGTGATTCAATTATAATAGCAAAGAAATTGAAAAATAAGAAGTAAATAAATGGAACTACATCAAATTACAAAACAGAAGTGAAAGAAATTACAAAACAAAAAGGCAATCCACTGAATAGAAGAAGGTATTTGCAAATCATAGGTCTGCAAAATATATAAAGAATTCATATAACTCAGCAACAAATAACTAAAAAATAGGCAGAGGATCTAAGTAGATATTTTATCAAAGAAAATGTGCAAATGACAACACACATGTGAAAAGATGATCATCATCACGTATTAGGGAAATTCAAACCAAAACCACAATGACGTATTACCTCATACCTATGAAATGGCTATTACCAAAAAGACAAGAAATAACAAGTATTGGCACAGATTTTAGAAAAGGGAACCCTTTTGCACTATTGTTAGGAATGTAAATTGGTAGGACTGTAAATATGGAAAACAGTATGGAGATTTCTCAAAAGAATTAATAATACAAAATACGTTTGTTTTTTTTTAATTTTCTATCCCCAAGGTGAAGTTTTCAAATATGTGGCCAATCAACTATTTGAAAGAAAAAATTCTTAGCAGT